CAGGGCCTGCAAGACAGAGCTCTTCCGCCAGGCCTTTGAGTAGGAGCCGCCGCCCCACTATACCACCACCGTCATGGTATCTTGAGGATGCACAGACGAGGCCCTGATGAAGATCCTGGAATATGTAAAGAAGATCTGATAAGCTGTCGCCATTCATTGGCGTACCACCTGGAACTGGTCTGTGTTGATTCCATCTTGGATTATGATATCAGTGACTGAGCACCGTTGTTGTTTTTAAGTGTTAGTTGTTTTATTATGTTTTAGATGTTTATTTATGGCACGGCTGATTACCTTGCCCTTGTGAGCCGCCCTGAGCCCATTGGGGAGGGCGGGATACAAATGTGAAAAATAAATAAATAAATAAATATAATGGTGGTGGCTCCCTAGTTGAAAGCCTGGCGGAAGAGCTCCGTCTTGCAGGCCCTGCGGAACTGCAAGAGATCCTGCAGGGCCCTGATCTCCTCCGGGAGCTCATTCCACCAGGATGGGGCCGCCACTGAGAAGGTCCTGGCCCTGGTGCTAGCATCCTTAGGGCCTGGGAGGGTCAATCGATTTTGAACCCCCAACCGTAGTGCTCTCTGGGGTATATATGGGGAAGATCCTCAGTTTCTGGTGAGGCAAAGTTATACAGATTACTTGTTTCTTTTCCTTTTCCCCCATGTAGCCAGTACCTCCTCCTGTACCTATAATTGTTAGAAATTCCTCTTACATCAAGCATGTCTGGGGAAAAACTCCAAAGGGCTGTCAGCCGTGTTCATCCCTTCTGCCTTTCTTGTACTGTTCCTTGAATCTTCTGCTTTTTAAGATCCAACAGGTGATTTGAAGCAAATAGAGACTAGGCTAAAGTTACCGTTTTCCCTGTCTCTTCCCAATGACATGATGTATAGTGCCTCTGGCAGTAGAAATGAGAACTTAAGGACTCTCAGCAAAGCAGTGCCCTTTTTTCTTGAAAAGAGATGCTAGTAAAGCAAGTGCAAGGTTGAAGGGGCTGCTATTAATCAGCAGTAAAAGATTGTCTGTAGGTCTGTAGGATTGTCTGTAGGTAAGAAGCTTCCTCCTTAAAGGGCTAGGATTGGCCCTTTCTTCTTAGAGGAAACTTTTCGGTTCATAAAATTGTAGGCTTCCTCTTAGGGTTCGCTGAAGCCTTGTCACAAGCTCTGAGAGTTAGGAACTGGGGTTGGTAAGCATTCCCCTGCCATGAAAGGTTTATATTAATGAAGAAGAGGATGGAGGCAGTATTCTGCCATCTCAAAATTTTTAGAGAAATCTCTGGTATGGTTGGTTGAGTAAAATTTAGCAGGATATGCTGATGAATATGGTATAGACTTACTGTTCAGTACTCAAGACTCACTAGTTCAGCTTTCTTTTGCATCATGGAACTACAGAGAATATGACTACATTTTTAATATCCGGCATACTGCAAAATCACTTGGGAGGGGTTCAGAAACCACCAGGTTATCCATTAATTTTTATTCACACAGGTGTGGGTAGTTTGTAGAAAACTCACTTACTCCATGATGTGTATAGCAGATTCGATGAAGTGTGCCCCAGTAGCTTGATTCAGATGTAACGCTGAACCTTTACTACGCTCTTCTGTGGCAGCTTGTTTGTTTAGAGTGTCTCTTTGCTGCCTCTTCAAAGTCCTGCTCGAATCAGCTCGCCGTTAAAATCCTGAGCCATTGGACGTAAGCCGTACACAACTATCCCTAAAACAGGTCAGCCATTGCAAAGCTTTAAGATATTCCTAATTAAAAGTCTGGGGGGAAATTGTATTTTAGCTTGGCACCTGTAAGAAAATAAAGTAGGCAGCACGTGAGCTTCAAGGAGAAGGGATTCCAATGATGAGTTGACACCACAGAAAACGTCCGGCTTCACCTCTGAAAGGTCGGGCACACAGGGTAGGGCTTGAGAGGTAGGCCTTAAGTGTTGGGTTGGATAGCATGGGAGAAAGTGGTCCTTCAGGTACTCTGGCCCCAAGCAAATTAGGGGCTTAAAGGTAAGAACCACCACTCCGAATTGGGTGCAGAAACAGCTGGGTAACCAACATAGTTCAGTACAGGGATGATACGATCTGTGTAACCAACCCTAGACGGTAGGCTGACCACCACATTTTGGGCCAATTGAAGTTTCTGAACAGTTTCCCAAGGCAGCCTCATACAGAACACATTACAGTAATCCAACTCAGGTATGGTCAGAGCATAGATTACTGGCCAGATCATGCTTTTTGAGGGACAGCTGTTGCTTGGCAAACTAGCTGGGGCTGATAAAGGCATTTTGTACCATAACATAACCCCCCAACTGTAGGCCACAATCTAATAGCACTCCCAAGTTATAAACCTGCTCCTTCAGAAGGCTGGTTCTGTGGTCCCCATGTAGCTTAAGACCCATGAAGGGCAAGGATCGAGAGCATAAGTAGTAGCAGACTTGAGAATGTGTATAGAATTCTCGGAGAAGTGCTTTTCTCTGTGTGTTCTCAGTCCTTGCTTTTTGTGGCACTGAAGCTGCCATGGAGGGGCTGGAACAGATTATAAATGTCTTCTTACGGGAGGGCTTTCTTTTTCTTGCATCGAAGGAGGTAGTAACTCTCTTCTTCCAACAAAAACGATCTCTAGACCCCAACAGCAAAATGATTCTGCACAGTATGTTAAAAAAGGATGAAATCCATGTAATATCTTATTTATTTATTTATTTATTTGAAGATTTTTACCCCGCCCTCCCCGCAAGCGGGCTCAGGGCGGCTTACAAAGGGGCATAGCCCATACATAAAACCAGTAAAACTTATAATAAGACCAATCATATTGACACAAAACATTGTGCAACTTTTGAGGCCACCAGGGTTCATCATACTTTGAAGTTGTAAGACATTAAAAGACAGAAGAATGGAAAGTGAATCTTTCAGGTCAGCAGATCTATAGGCTATTGTGTGAGGTCTGGTCTTAGGGGCTTCATTACTGAGATGCCAGCAGGCTGTGAGCTTAACTTTATTGCTGCAGCAATAGGTCATGGTGTATTGCTACAGTATAGAGGTACAGCATCTTTGCTGGAAGGCCAAGTTCAGTCAATCTCCACTTCTTTGGTCTTTCACTAAAATACAAAACCTACCCACAATCCATCCAAAACCATCCCATGCTGAGTAAGATGCACAGTGCTGTTGTAGGCTGAGAGAAGACTGAAGAAAAAGAAATGGAGAGGCCTGATGAAGACTCCGGGTGGACTCGCACAGTGTTTGGTGTCAGTGTGGTTGGTCCTAATACAAGAGATTATATGGATTTTGTACTTGTTTTTTGGGGGGTATTGAGTGAACCAATATGGCTGTATAACTTCTTTCCAGTATCAAAGCTCCTCTTCTTGGGCTTGAGAAAGTGGTGGCAGTATAATTTGGAGCTTTCTGTGTGAAACTGACTGTCTAGATCTGAGGTGTAAGACTCATTTGTCATGAGGGCCAGATCTGGCATAAATGTCACTTTGTCGGGCCGGGCCTTGTGTACCATAAAATGTAACACCCGGTACTGGAGATATCTATATATCTAATTCCAACAGGGGGCGGGCTGTGCGGATATTTATTTCTGCCAACAGAGGGCTCACTTTCCCCCAACAGCTTTTCCTACATAGTCAGTAGACTTCCTGTGACTGCAGAAAAATCCAAGAAGTAAAGAAATTCCTTCAGGGAGGGTTGAATTCCCCCCAATACCTTTTGAGATGGCCTCTGCAGGGATCTAACTCCGGGCATCAACGGTGATAGAGAGATTAGAAT